AATACCTTTTTGCAACAACACAAATGGTGGCTATACATGTAGAGTTTGCCAGATGGAGTACACAGGAATCAGATTGACTACATCTGTGGTAAGAGGTGATGGAAAATCTCAATATCTTTAGTCAAAACAAGGCCAAGAGTTGATTGTGGAACAGATCATCAACTGCTTATATGCAAGTTCAACTTGAAGGTGAAGACAATTAAAACAAATCCATGAGAGCCAAAATATAACCTGGAATATATCCCTCCTGAATTTAGAGACCATCTAAAGAATGGATTTGATGCATTGAACACCAATGACCGAAACCAGAAGAATTGTGGGATGACATCAAGAACATCATCTAAGAAGAAAGCAAGAGGTCTTTAAAAAGATGAGAAAAGAAGAAAAGACCAAAATGGATGTCAGGAGAAACTCTGAAACTTGCCCTGAGAGAAGAGTAGCAAAAGCAAATGGAAGAAATGACAAGATAAAAGAGTTGAATAGAAGATTTCGAAGAGCAGCTCAAGCAGACAAAGCCAATTACTGTAAAGAAATGTGCAAAGACCTGGAGTTAAAAAACCAAAAAAGGAAGAACACGCTCAACATTTCTCAAGCTAAAAGAACTGAGGAAAACATTTAAGCCTCGAGTTGCAGTATTGAAACATTTTATGGGCAAAATATTTAATGATGCAGGAAGCATCAAAAGAAGACAGAAGGAATACATAGAGTTACTGTACCAAAAAGAACTGGTCAATGTTCATCCATTTCAGGAGGTGGCATATGATCAAGAACCAATAGTATTGAAGGAATAAGTCGAAGCTGCACTGAAGGAATTGGCAAAGAACAAGGCTCCAGGAATTGATGGAATACCTTTTGAGATGTTTCAATAAACAGATGCTCCACTGGAGGCGTCACTCGGTTATGCCAAGAGATTTGAAAGACAGTTACCTGGGGAACTGACTGGAAGAGATCCATATTCGTGCCCATTCTGAAGAAAGGTGATCCCACAGAATGTGGAAATTATCAAACAATATCATTACTATTGCACACAAATAAAATCTTACTGAAGACAATTAAAAAACTGTTGCAGCAGTCTATTGACAGAGAACTTCCAGAGGTGCAGGCTGGATTCAGAAGAGGATGTGGAACAAGGGATATCATTGCTGATGTCAGATGGATCTTGGCTCAAAGCAAAGAATACCAGAAAGATATTTACTTGTGTTTTATTGACTATGCAAAAGCATTTGATTGTGTAGATCATAACAAATAGTGGATAATATTGAGAAGAATGGGAATACCAGAACAATTAATTGTACTTATGAGGAACCTGTACATAGACCAGTAGGCTGTTGTTCAGACAGAACAAGGGGGCACTACATGTTTTAAAATCAAGAAGGGTGTGTATCAGGGTTGTATCCTTTCACCATACTCATTCAATTTATATGCTGAGCAAATAATCTGAGAAGCTGAACTATATGAAAAAGAACATGGCACCAGGATTGGAGGAAGAATCATTAACAACCTGTGCTGACAACACAACTTTGCTTGTTGAAAGAGAGGATGACATAAAGCACTTACTGATGAAGACTGAAGAATACAGTCTGCAGTATGGATTACATCTTAATATAAACAAAACAAAAATTCTCATAATTGGACCTATAAGCAGCATCATGATAAGTGGAGAAAAGTTTGAAGTTGTCAAAGACGTCACATTGCTTGGATCTATAATCGACACAAATGGAAGCAGCAGTCAGAACATCAGACAAGGTATGGCATCAGGTAAGTCAGCTGCAAAGCACCTCTTTCAAGTGCTGAGAAGCAAAGATGTCTCCTTGAGGACTGAGGTGCACCTGGCACAAGCCATGATATTTTCAATTACCTCATATGCATGTGATAGCTGGACGATGAATAAAGAAGACCCAAGAATTGATGCATTTGAGGTGTGGTGCTGGAGAAGAATGCTGAAAGTGCAATGGACTGCTAAAAGAACTAACAAATCTGTCCTGAAGGAGGTGCAGCCAGAATGCTCCTTGGGAGCAAGAACGGCCAGACTTTGTCTCATCTACTTTGGTCATGTTATCAGAAGGGAACATTCCCTGGAGAAGTATGTCATGTTTGGTAAGGTGGAGGGTGGACGAAAGAGGGGAAGTCCCTCAACGAGATGGACTGAAACAGTGACTGCGGCGAAGGGCTCAAGTATAGTAGGGATTGCAGAGTTGGCCCAGGACCGGGCGGAGTTTCATTCTGCTGTGCAGAAGGTTGCTATGAGTCAAAACTGACTCAACAGCACCTAACAACAACAACAACAACATAACTTATGGGAGCTCTGGTGGCATAGTGCCTAAGGCATTTGACTGCTAACCAGCAGGCTGGCTGTTCAAATCCACCAGCCACTCCTCGGAGGTAAGGTTGGGCAATCTACTTTCGTAGTGATACTGCCTCAGAAACCCAAGAAGGGGTCACTATGATTTGGATCTGACTCCATGGCAGTGAGTGAGTGAGTGAATGTGACATAACTTGTATGTTCAGAAATCCAGCTGTCTATAACTGAACTCAATTTTATTTCTCAAAGCCCTGTTGATGGTGAAAAAATGCATCTTGGTATCCAAGGCATTTCAGTTCCTTTCTGTGTATAAATTGCTCTCTTTGGGATAAACACTTAGTTGAATTCATGATCCTTCCTTTTGCTTCCTCTTCTCTTCTTCCCAGAGAGGGTCATTCTGACATCTGGGAAAAGGTATCTGGCTGGCTGGGGCATCCTTGATTCTTGCTGGCCTCTTCTATAATGTGACTGGTCCCTGACAATGGGCATGAAGATTTTTTGGGGTCCTGTCTTCCAGCCCTGCCACATGTCTCTGCCACTTTGTGCCACAGCATGGTGTGCTAGCTGCCATCCTTGGCATGGTTGGTCCAGTCTCAGGCTCCATGCTGTCCAACAACATGCTGAATATAGACTTTTTTTGGAGTCTTGTCATCTTCCTGCCTTATGTTCAGGAAAGAAGTTCTTCTGGCCTGAAATTTCTTCAACCATAATGGGTTTCTCTTTCACTTTTGAGCCTTAGAGGAGGAAGGGTGCAGGGAGAGCCTTACCAGATGACATCAGAAGCTATGAGTGTGGGGTCATCTCCTCTGAATCCTTCCCTGCATCCTGCAGACCACACTTGATTCCTGGGGGAAGGCAGGCAAAATTCAGGGATCACACACTCTTTGGCTTTTGCATATTGTCTGTGGACAATGCTCTAAGCTTGCTTCTTGCTATTCAATGGCTGCCTTTTGGGAATTTTGGGACTATAACCCACCCCTTCTCTGACTTAAGCCTAGATCTTGCAAATCCCTTGAGCTCAGGCTTTCAGATTGTTGTTTCTACTCTGTGATGAAGACATCTATCCAGAATGCAGTGGAATTCTTGGACCTAGGCTTGGTATATACAATCCATCTAGAGAGCTCTGGACTGCTAGGAATGTGGGGAAAATGGGTCCAGGATACAGAAGAGTCACATTGTTTAATATTGAGACATCACCCTGCAATACATGGGACAGAAGCCTCACTCACTCTCAGGAGAGCAGACATGATCACAAAGGTTCCCAGGAAGACAGAGGGCTCCTCTACCTGACCCTAAATCCTCTCTGGTAGTCTCTCTGCTTTGGTCTGCTCCCCTCCCTTTTCCTCACTTATGGTTTGGATCCTTCCTACTCTGGCTTGCACTTGATCTTTGCAGTCATCTCAGCTTCCCTTATTACAGCAGAACCTCTTAGCTTCATGCCGCCACCACTGTCCCAGCACTGTGTACTTCCCAGTCTTAGGAAGGACTGTGCCAGTCCTTGTCACTAGTCATTTGCCAGCTATACTTTATTCAAGTTACTTTGTCTGTCTTCTTGGCCCTGGTCAGGAGGGTGAGGCCTTTCATTATAAGCAAGACCACCTGGGAGAAAGACTAAATTATGTGGGTGAGGCAGACATCTTGGAGCTCAGACTGCCCTCTGCTAGCCTGGGTCCAGGCCATTCAGAAGCTAGGCTTTAGTTGCCCTAATCTCAGGAGGGAAAAGACTCCTCCTCTCTGACCATGGTTTATGATTCTGTAGTTGAATCACTACCTTCTCCAGGAAGTCTTCCTTGACTACCCCGACCTTTGGGACCAACCAAGAAGCCTTCTCTCACTCAGCCCTGCACCCCATTCCAATGTCTGTCATGGAAATTGTGCTGTGACCTGTATTCCCCATCCCTAGAGATGTTTGTCATCTGTTCTGGTTACCTAGTGCCGCTCTGATGAGAATATACCACCAATGGGATGGCCCTAAGAAACAACAGTTTATTCTCTTACAGTTTGGACGCTTTAAGTCCAAGTTCAAAGTGCCAGGTTCTAGGGGCTGGATGAAAGCCCCTCAACCTTGGGGTCCAGCTCTGCCTCCTGCTCCCAGCCCACTGGAGCTAGAGGCATTTCTTCACTCAGACAGCTGCTGGACGCTGAGGCTGTGAAGCCCAAGGCTGACAAGTAAAAAGGCACAGTCCTAATGTTACCAAATCACATGGCAGGCCATTAATTCAAGTTCATTGTAAGTCCCAAGGTTGGCAGAGCATGGCAGGCTACATGCAGGTCCAAATATGGCATAGGCTAGAGATCATTCCCAAGCTTCTGCTTATATACAGGAAGCAGACCACATCCCAAAGGCAGCTACTCAGCTGCTTGTGGTAGATCACACCATGGAGTTGATTGCCAGTCTCATCCTGGGGAATAACTACCACCAGCTGCCCAGCCAAGGTGACACACAAACTGAACTACCACAACATCCCATCCTACTTCTTGAGATCAAAATGGTTGGTTGTCTGTTGCTCTTAGTGCTAGAGCTGACACCAGCAGGTGCTGAGAGAGGGGTTTTCTGAGAGCTGGGTGGCTGACACGTTCATTGGCAGTGACCTGAAGGCAGGATACTGTAGGGTGGGCAGAGGAAAGGTCCATAAGATGCCCTCTTACATAGATGTCTGGGTACACACACACACACCGTGTTTTGATTCTTTTCCAGCATCAGCGATCAGTTCATTTTCAACATGTGCAGCAAAGACAGGTCCTGTGACCATTACTCATGCCAGCGCCACAGATACGCAGACATCAGAGAGATCCACCGGACACGCTTTCTTCTGCAGGTATGCCTGCTGGGGCACAGGGAGGACATGCTTATTCACAAGACATGTTATCCTGCCACTGAAGCCCTAGTCTCTCTAATGAGGAATCTGTCCCCATGTGTAGCCTAGTACCTTTCCTGAAACATTGCATCATGAGCTCCCCAGCCCAGAGTTCTGACTCTGGCTATACTCCCTCTCCATCTTGTGCTTGGGTTGCTGGGCCTTCTCTCTTATTGTGTCCTTTAGGCTCCAGCCTCTTTGCCCTGTTTTCTGCTGTAGCATCACAGAGCTGTCCTGCAGGCAGAAATACAGGGCAGAGCAGTTACATAAGTGATATTTGAATCCAAGCCTGTCCTAGTTTGAAAAGACCTGGCCCACCTGGCCACCCAGCTCTGCTCTGCCCTTGTGATGCTGGGTGTACTTCCTTTACCTGACTGTCCCTCTTCCCACCATTCTCATCCATCTCCAAGCTCCTGCTCATTTCTTTTTTCTTTCTTTCTTCTTCTTTCTTTCTTTCTTTCTTTTTAAATTGTGGTTTGGGTGAAAATTTACAGAGCAAATTCACTTTCCATACAACAGTTCACATACACTTTGTCTCATAACATTGAATACAATTCACCCCAATGTAACAGCTCCCCTCCCATGTCCTCCTGATAGTTACCTCTTCCCTGTGTCCATCCCTCCATGAACTCCTGCCCCCTGAGCTGTCTCCCTGTGCATAAACAGCCCTTCTTTCTCCCATGATTGATCTTTCCAAGGAGCGTGTTCACCTCAGGTAAAGGTTCAACTCATATGCCTGTCTTTAGTTTGGCTGGAAGCCACAGGTGTGGGTTCAATTCCAGACCTGAAGGGCAGCTGGGGGCCATAGTCTTAGGGATTCCACCAGATTCTATCAGACCAGCAAAACTTGTTCTCCCCCTTTTTTGTTCCCCGAAATGATTTTGAGTTTTGTTCCACACTGTTCTCCCTCTCTATCCCTCCTACATAGATGCCCCTCGTTCTTCTGGTCTCATAATCATACAGGCTGTGGATCGCATGGTGTACCAGTCACAAGGACTAATTGTTTCATGTATCTTTGGTTTTCTTCATTATTCTTTGCTCTGGATAAGGAGAGACCTATCGTTGCATCTAGATGGCTGTTTGCAAGCTTTTAAGATCCTGGTCACTACTCTCCAAAGTAGGAGGTGGAACAATGTTTTGTGTAGTATGTTATGTCAATTGAACTTGATGTCCCCTGCGACTATGGTCCTGAGCCCACTGGTTCAACTACTCAGTCACTCTGGGTAGCTGGCTGTGACCAAGAGGTGACTATAACCTTGTCCCTTTACAGCTCTATTATACACCTGGGAATTCAGATCATACAAATACACTTATAGGACCATTGTCTGCCAGCCCTATACATGGTCTTGGGTATACTCTCCACTTCATAAACATACCTACTAGTTCAACCTGTCCACCCATCTATCCACCCATATATACATGTTTGCCATCACGGACACCGCAGTACTGTATGTGCAAAAGGGTTCATATTTGTTGTCTATACCTCCCATGTACCTCTTTATGTCTTCCTCTTCCTCAATGCCGCCATATTAGTCACTCACATTTGGTACATTTCCCTTCTCTTCACCCAAATCAATATTTATCTCTACCTATCAACAGTGTTCCTTCTCCTCCCCTCCCACCCCTGGTAACCAAAAAAGAACATTTCCTTCTATAAATAAACCTTTCCTTGACTTTTACAATAATGGACTAATACAATATTTGTTGTTTTGTGATTGACTTATTTCACTCAGCATAATGTCCTCCAAGATCATCCATATTATGCAGTGTTTTGCAGATTCTAGGTTATTCTTTAGGGTTGCATAGTATTCCATTGTGTGTATGTACCATAGTTTGGTTCTCCATTCCTCAGTTGATGCACTCCTAGGTGATTTCCATCTTTTGGCTATTGTAAATAGTACTGCAATGAACATGGGTGTGCATATGTCTGTTCTTGTCATGGCTCTCTCTTCTTTAGGCTATATACCTAGTAATGGAATGGCTGGGTCAAATGGTGTTTTTAATTCCAACTTTTGAAGGAATTGCCATACTGCTTTCCACAGTGGTTGTACCATTTTACAGTCCCACCAGCAGTGTATGAGAGTCCCAATCTCTCCACATCCTCTCCAGCATTTGTTATTTTCTGTCTTGTTGAACTTTGCTACTAGTGCTGGGGCAAGATGGTATCTTATTTTTGTTTTTATTGCTCCTGGTTATTTCTTAGGAGTTTTGTCTTCTAATATTAGCTCCTCCTTGGGAGAAGCAAGGCTATGTCTCCATCCCCAAAGAGGTGCTGAGGGACTTCCTTTGCCTGGAAGGAAGAGGTGCAGAGGCAGGAGAAAGAGTCCAGTCTCTGCAGAGTCTTTTGCTTTTGTGAGGCCAAGCAGGTTAAGACCCTCGCCTAAGGAAGATCACAGGGAGTCTTTCATTTGTAAATTTCCTTCTTGGGTCTGAAGCACTTTACTTCATCAAGAGGTCCTCATGCAGGAACTAGGCATTGTCATTCTCTGAAACAGAAGTTCAGAGAGGCCTTTGGAACTAGTTCAGAAAAGATCCAATACCTTGTTGATAGTGGCCCAGCAGGTGCTCAGGTGTCTTGACATCTGATGAGCCCTCACTCCTTACTCCCTGCTTTTGTGCACAAAGTAGCTGGCCATCATCTTGTCTGACCTTATGTACTTCTTTGCAAGGAGAGTGAAACGGAAACAAAAGGTGGAAGCCTCCTGCCCTGATTGTTCTGGGCACAGGGAGGGAGCCTGAGTTTAAGAAGCTAAACTTGGATGTCCAAGCTGGTCTCTGTCTGCCACCTGGCACAATTGGGCCCCCTCTGGCTTCAATTTCCTCTTCAGTAAACAGCAGTCCACGACTTTTCTTTTCCATTATTATATATAACACTTGGCACATTTGGGGACATACATTAAGTACTCCAAAATTATTTTTTATGATTATATGTCCACTTTACAGGTGATGTATAGTGCCAGATAGGTATCAGTGAGCTTCTATTTCTTGAGTAAATGGTAATTATTTCCAGATGGTTGGTTAGCCCAACAGGGGTTGAGGTTAGAAATGGGAGAATGTTTATTCACAGAGTGGGGGCAGGACAGGATGGGAACTCTATACAACCCTGGATTCTCCCTGGAGAAAGGACAAAACCTTGGAACTCAAGGTTTTCCAGGGTGAGCCATGTCCTCCACAGATTCTACAGTTACTGTTTGTTTTGAACATTATATTTCTAATTGTAACAAAAAAAAAAAAAAATTCTATGTACACCTTCAGAGGACAGGAGTTTTTCAACATCATTACAAATATCTTTCCTCTGTTCCTGGGGGACTTAATGAGCCTTAGGACTAGACTTTGAAAACACAATTTCTGCCAGGTAGAAGGTGGTCATGACATGGGTATTGGATGTAGTAGCTGTGTCTATATTTTCATGTGGAAACTCTGCTGATAAAATGACCAGCTATGTTAAAGCAGATACACTTGAAGCCTGCTCCATTTTTGGTCTGTTTTACTACTGGCACCTCTGGGCTCAGACTTCACCCCTTCCTGCTCTCTCCTCTCCCTTGGGAATTGTCTCTTCCTCACCCTAACTCATCCCTGAATCTTATCCCATAGGTGAACACACTCTATCCCTTATTACAAATGTGCTGTTTACATAGCTTAGAAATAGATGAGACAGAGGGAGAAAGGAAAGCAGGAAGGAAGGAAGGAAAGAAAAGAATGTTATGTAGCTTTTTTATTGATCTATTAATAAAATAAAGAAATCCTGGTGGCACAATAGTTAAGCACTTGGCTGCTAACAAAAAAAGTTGGTGGTTTGAACCCACCCACCAGCTCTACGGGAGAAAGACCTGATGATCTTCCATGAATATTCCATAATAATTTACCTTCTGTAAAGAAGATTACATCCAAGAAAATCCCATGGGGCAGTTCTACTCTGCATATGTGGGGTTGTTATGAGCTGAAGTCGACTTGACAGCACCTAACAACAAAACATTGCTGGGGCAGTGTAGCCATGTCGAAATGGCTTGTCAAAATAGACTCAGCAAAATGCTCTGTGCTTTTAAGTCTGTAGAAGTGCACAGGAGGCTGCCTGGTTAGGAAGTTGCACCTAGTGTTTCTGGTAGGGTAGTCCTTGGGTTCAGGAGACAAACACCCCAAGTGAAGGTGTTTGAAGTTGTCAATGGGCATTTTCTCCCAGGAAGTCTTACTTACCTAATGCTAACTGTAAGAAAAATAAGTGGATGAATTTAAAGAAAAGAAATTTGTCCCCTTACAGTCAAGAGGTTGTTGTTGTGTGCTGCTGAGTTGATTCTGACTCATTGTGACTCTATAGATCAGAGTAGAATTGCCCCACAAGATTTCCCAGACTATAATCTTTACTGAAGCAGACTGCTACAACTTTCTCCTGCAGAGCACTGTCAGGTTTGAACTGCTGATCCTTCAGTTAGCAGTGGAGTACTTAACTACCATACACTCAGGGTTCCTGTCAAGAGTCTAGAAGTCTGAATTCAGGGCATCAGCTCTAAGGGACAGTTATTCTTTGTCTCTTTTAGTTTCTAGCAGTCAGCAATCCTCAGAGTTCCTGGGCTTGTGGATTTAGCTGTTTTGTGATTATTTGGAGTCTGTCTTCCTCCTGTTTCTTATTTTCCCTTTTTCACAAGAGAACCGTCAGAAGAGATTACGTTTAGAACCTGCCCTGCTCTGTGTGATATCATTATCATAACAAAAGAAAACATTTTTTTTCTAAACAGGGTCATACTTACTTGTACAGGGGTTAGGATTTCAGCATATCTTTCTGGGGTTCATAATTCAATCTCTGACACTCCTTGTCCATTCCTCACTTGTCCTGAGAGTGATGCTCTTGCTCTGGGGTTGATAGGCAAAGGAACTAGAGCAGTTGTTAGGCTCTGCCCTCTCCCCTTCCTGCTAAGATGGCCATTTATCCCTGTTACCAGCAGTGCCTAAAGCATTTGACTGCTAATCAGAAGGCTGTTGGTTCAAATCCATCAGCTGCTCCGTGGAAGGAGGACTGGGCAATCTACTTTCGTAAAGATTTACTACCTCAGGAACACAATGAGGTTTGCTATAAGTTTGAATCAACTCAGTGGCAGTAGTGGTTCTCTCTCTCTCTCTCTCTCTCTCTCTCTCTCTCTCTCTCTCTGTGTGTGTGTGTGTGTGTGTGTGGTTTGTCATGGACCTTATACTCCTGTGGAAGGTCTGAAGGACTGACCAGGAAGAGTTGCCTGATATAGAAATGCATATGATCCACTCCTGGCTGCCACCTGGGGCATCTCCATCTGAGGAACTGCAGAAAGTTCTCTCAAAGAAACATCAGGAGCAATAAAAGGAGTTTCTCTTTGCAGGACATTGCCCTGGAAATCTTTTTCCAAAATGGATATTCCAAGTTTCTTGTCTTCTACAACAATGATCGGAGTAAGGCTTTCAAAAGGTAAGACTTTGGAAATTTTCCTTTGTAGAAATTGGTCAGAAACCAAGAGCAGAAGAACAAGACTGTTCACCTCTCTTGTCAGGAGAAATGCCCTCAAAATGCAGCAAGCAGTATTTAGGTTAAACACTAGGAGGAACTAACTTCCTGACCCAGAGAGTTGCTGAATCATGGAAATAAGTCTAAAGAAAAGATAGAGAAACTCCTTTCCTAAATCCTAGGAAACAAGCTCTATTTTCACTGAAGTTGTTTAGGACCAAAATGACTAAACCAAAACCAAACCAAACTCACTGTCATCGAGTTGGATCCAACTCATAGCGACCCCTCCTTGGGTTTCTGAGGCAATATCACTACAGAAGTAGATTGCCCAATCTTCCTTCTGAGGAGTAGCTGGTGGGCTTGAACTGCCAGCCTTCTGGTTAGCAGTCAAATGTGTATATACACCTATTCCTCACTTCGACTGTCTTGGTATCTGATATGTCACATTTGTGGCTATAGTGAAAAAAAAAAAAAAAAAAAAACCCTATTAACCATATTTACAATGTATGTCTGGCTGTGTTGCAAACCAAAGTGCATGGCAAGAGTAACATGGCTGTGATAGTTAAGGTTATGTGTCAACTTGGCTGGACCATAATTCTCAGTAATTTGGCAGTTATGTAATAATGTGATTTGTCAGTTATGTATTGATATAGTTATTTTTCATTGTGATCTGATGTGGACGTCTTCCATTTTTGTATAATTCCAATTTTCAAATAACAACTTAGTCTTAGGGACCTAACCATGTGAAAAAGTGAGGAGTGAGAGTATTACATATTTAATAAATTGGCTGTTTAATGGGACTTCCAGAATTGTCTGGCTTTATATTCTTATTTTCCAAGTAATTTTCTTTTACTCAACCATGCTTTTTGATGCCCAGTTCCTATTTTAATTGTTCCAATGGCATATTTTCCTGGAAAGAATTCCAAACACCTGGATTTTTCAGTCCTGCATTGAATGTCTATTTTTTTTTTTTGAAGAGACAAGCCTATCATTTTAATTTAAGAATAGATTTATTTTAAAAATTAAGCCTTTTTTTTTTAATACTTAGCTCTGGTGGCTTAGTGCCTAAGGCATTTGACTGCTAACCAAAAGGCTAGTGGTTCAAACCCATCGGCCACTCCTCGGAAGAAAGATTGGGCAATCTACTTCTGTAGAGTTATTGCCTCAGAAACCCAAGGAGGGCTCACTATGAGTTGTAATTGACTCAACAGTAGCGAGAATGATCATTAATATTATTATTAAAGTTATAGATAAAAGACAAAGAGATTTGGTGTAGAAAATCACGGAAAACACAGAAAGGAAGGCAGGTTTCTAAACACAAACAGACCACAAGAAAGTTTGCATTAACGAAGGGGTGGTGTTATGTTCTACTCCATTTTGGGCTGGGAGTTCTAATGTGCAATTTGATGGCCCTAGCCTGGGATATCCCATTTTGTGCTCTGAGTCTTCAGCCTTGCCTTCATAGTGTTTTTGGCAATAAATTGACACCAAGACCAACTCTTGGGACCAAGGGACAGTTCTGGAGTATAGAAAACAGCTCCTGTGAAGAGGCATGAGTGCCAGCTGTTGGCATGCCTCCTTTCACTCAGGTGAGCCTCCCAGCGAGGTTCTCCTAAGGTCATGCTGTTAGATTACTTCTGAAAATTGTTTTCGTGATCCGTTTTAAACCAATTCTGGAAAATAGATGCATAGTGCTGAACTTTAGATTCACTGTCCCCTGTAATTTATGTGTATTAAACAGTGCTTTTCAAAGTTTATCAAGAAGTTTTATACTTTCTGCTCAGGCAGTGAGTGTTATCTAGCATAAACTCCCTAGTCATGCCCATCCCTTCAAGGAGCATTAAATTAAAATGGCATTTTTTTCTGGAGGGACACCCTGGAATGTGCAATAGCATTGTTGAAATTGTCAACTGCAACATCCAGGGCTTGGCACCGAGGAGGCTACTAAGAAAGGTCTGCCTTGGTAACTGTTGTCTAATTATTATCATTGTCATTAGAAAGGCTGGAGTGTGTGATACATAAAGGTACTGAGAGGGTGCTTCAAAGATGGAGGGGGTGGGGTGAAGGTAAAAATGTGTCCTACCTCTTCTTGCCTGACTCCACAAGTGCCTCTACTTGTGCTGGAAAGTCTGGGCTCTACTGACAGAATTATCCTTTCTCTTTTTTTAGCTTCTGTTCTTTCCAACCTGGCTTGAAGGGGAAGGGAATCACAGAGGAATCCCTCAACATAAGGTAACAAGGCAGGGCTGCATTAGCTGAGCTTTCTAGCCAGGTTTGTCCTTGCTTTGATACTCCTCATTCACCTGATAGTGTTGTAAAAAATTAATGCAAAGAGCATCTGTTTGCTTCCCCTTTCTTAATTTATTTTTTCCAGTCCCCATACATCCTTCATCCTACTCCCAAAGTCCTTCCTGCCAATTAAATATCTAAGAAAAAGTTTGATGCCCATGTACTCTGTAGCCTTTTCACACAAAAATGACAGGACACAGCTAGCTCTTGGCATGTGGTGGTTGGAGGCAGGTGATCAATACGTGTAATGACCCACAGCCAGCTCAGGGTCAGGATTTCATGTGTGGGTGGGGTGTGTAACAATCTTAGGTCTGCCCTTCATATGCCCAGAGTCTCTGACTATTCAGAAACAAAATAGTTTGTGATGGTGTGCTGATCAGATGCTAATTTATGAAGCTGAAATGGGGAATTACTCCCAGGGCATGAAATGCTACAGCCCTATACATGGCCCTTTTATAAGTACCTAGTTCTCTGAAGGGCCAATTCAGGATCAGTAGGTACTTTAATTAAATTAGACATGAGAATACAGGAAGAAGAAGGCTGGTGCTACTTTTATCCAAGATGGTTGGTTTGTGAGGATATACATGAGGGGAGGAGTGTCTCCAGGAGTGATATTCAAAATATTGATGAGTATGGCATAGCTACCACAATTAATCCAAAATTACCTATTGATATATTATTATATGCACATTATATATGGTGTTCGTTGCTTGATAGAGCAATAAACAAAATAATTAAAAAAAAAACAACTCCTGCTCTTATTGAGTTTAAATTTTCATGAGGAAGAAGACAGCGAACAATGTAAATGAGTAAAATATAAAGTATATTAGATAATCATAAATATGAAGAAGAAAAAATATGGTTGATAGAAATGGAGATTGGAATCTTAAACTGGGTGGTGAGGGAAGCCCTCACAAAGGAATAATTTTTAAATTAAGATTTGAATGAAGTGGGGGAAAAGCAATGCAGATAACTGGGGAAAGAGCATTTCAGGCTATAGGAGCAAAGGTCCTGTGAGAGAAATGTGGTTAACATCACCAAGGCCAGAGAGGTTGGGGTAGAGACACTTAGTGGGAGGAAGGTGAGAAAGTCACAGAGGCTAGTTGATGTAAGCCTTGGGGCCGGGCATGTCAAGATAATGGTTTTGGCTTTCACTCTCAATAAATGGGAAGTATTGGAGTGTTTTGAGCAGAAGGATGATGTGACCTGATTTATGTTTTAAAAGAATCCCTCTGACAACTGTGTCAAGAAAGACCATAGTAGGTCCAGGGCAGAAGCAGAGAGCCAGTTAGGAGTCTTCTACTTTCACCCAGGTTAGAAATGATGGTGTCTTAGACTAAGGAGAGGGCAGTAAAGATGGTATACAATGTGAGGTTATAGACATGTTTTGAAGATACATCTGATGGGATTTGATGACAAATCAAATGCAAGGTATGTGTATGTGAGAGAGGATTTAAGATTAGACCAAGGATTTACTCATACTCAAAGTCGTTGAATCGGATCTGATTCATAGCAACCCCTCCTTGGGTTTTCAAAGCTGTATCACTATGGAAGTAGATTGCCCAACCTTCCTTTTAGGCTTGGGTAATTGGAAAATGAAATAGGGATGTGGTGGATGTCAGGAATTCAGTTTTGAACACGTTCATTTTGAGATGCCTGCCAGACGTCCAGCTGGAAAAGGCATGAAGACAATAAAGTATATGAATTTGGAGTTCAAGGGAGAGGTCCAGCAGAGGTGTAAATTTGGAATAGTAGCCAAAGCCATGAGATTGGATTAGGCCACTCAGAGAATGAGTGCACGTGGGAAAGAGGCCCAAGGATAGTGCCCTGGGATGTGCTAATGTCTAGAAGTAAAAAAGATGGGGAGAAACCAGCAATAGAGATTGGAAAGTAGTAACCAGACAGATAAGAGAAACCGCACATATGAAAGTTATCCTGGAAGCTATGTACAGTGTTTCAAATAAGTGCTCAATTGTGTGGCTGAAATACTATGGACAACCAAGAAAGGTAAGGACTGAGAAATGAACTACACAATATAGAGGTCATTGATGACTTTGAGAAGACCAATCAAAATGTAAGGCAGCAAAGGCTCCCTGCTCTGCCAGACATTAACCCTTGAGTTGATTGTGGAGAAGTCCAGGGAATCCCAGGGAATGGTCTAAGAGACCTAGAAAATGGTGGATCACTGGGAGTGGGGGTGGTGTGGGGGATGGTTTTTACCAACTGGGATGGAAATATTGCAACTGTTCAATTGTGCATATCAGATGACTATCAACCTTGTGTTCTCATATTGCTTATGCTTCACATAAGCCTTGGATTTCTTAGCACTTTTAGTGCAAGTGGGATAAAGCCACTTTAAACTACCTGAAGCAGAAAAGAGAACTCATCACCTCACATACCTGAAAAAGGCCAGGAAAGATCTGATTGCAGATGTGACTGGATCTCCAGGCTCAAGTAGATCTGTAGGAAGCAATTTTCTCCATCTCTTAGGAAGGATTTCCCCTGGACTGGCTTATTTTTTCAGTAAACTCTCCTGGCACAATGACATTGATGCCTCCAATAGCTCTAGGCTTAGCATTAACATCTTAGAAATCCCAGCACACAGGGAATAATCTGTACCAGCAGTTTTATGAACAATCTTGGACTTGATTTTCATATGCCCAAGTCAGATTAAGTGTCCATCCAGAATTAATCATAGCACTTTCATTGACCAGTTCTGGGTGGTGTGCCCATCCAGATTCTGCGGGGTGGGGTCAGGACCACCCAACAGCATAAAACAAACTGGGGAGAAAGTGATTCCCCATGAGAACCAAGATAATGTTATCAGAACAGGGTGACTATTGTCCATAAGCCAGATAGCCACCATCATCCCAGGCAGGGAGAACTCCCAGGGACCACAGCTCTTATGGGCTACACATCTTCATTCTCTCTCCCTGGAGACATGAAACATCAGCTGTGACATCAGTTGCTTCACTGAGCTCCATTTGTCTCTGATATCACCCTCTTATAAATGTTATGTAACATCACTCAGCAGCCACAAGGCTGTCCCGATGGCTATGAGTAGCACTCATCCATTCCTACTGTATCCTGCTCAGAGTCTTAGGGATGTTTTGTCTTACTAATGCAAACCTTCTTCTACAGTGAAAAGTTTCTAAGTTTTACATTCCATGTGTCAGGATAATGTGGGGAGAGGGAGTAGACTGAGAAGGGGCAAAGGGGAGAAAGCACAGGAGAGCTGAACCATAGCCATGGCCATTAAGGAGGAGGAGTGTGCAGAAATGACTACCATGTGGTGGAAAGATAATTCTCTGGCCTGTAGAAGAGTCAAACATGGCAATCACTCCTCACTTATCCCTTGAGATAACCTCAGGCACCAACCTGGGTACCAATCTTCACCTGTGAGATAGCTAGGCCCAGTGGTGATTTTATTTCCATTGCATTTATTTTTTTGCCATTGTGGCCATCTTAGCCCATGGAAACAGGACCTCTTAGAGCTAGTCTATACTCTTTTTGTATAGTCTTAGCCTAGCTCTAAGTTTGGAGACCCTTGGGAAAAATAAAGTGGGGAAAACTTCCAGGGTCAATTGAGAACAATGGATGGTACTGCAGAGAAATGCTAATATAAGCTCCTGGAAAAAAAGCCTCAATAAAACAAGAAGGCAACCATGGGCCACTCACTTGTCCTAGGCTCTTAGATGACCCAGCCAGCCAGGGCACATAGTGGCATTGTCATACAACAGCTATCCATGAGCTCTGAAATTACACTGACTTAGGGCCAGAGCAGGGGTTCAATACATTGTGATTTCTTTGCCTTGTTTTAAAATTAGCTGTTGTCTTTTAGGTGTGTTTATGGACTGATCAACTAGTAACAGGCACTGTCTATGCTCTCAGCTCTTTTGCATTTCTTATTCCCAGCCCTTCTCTCACCACCCTGTATGGTTTCAGGAGCTCCAGACTGCGAAAGTAGTGGTAGCCTCCAATGTTAGGAGGGCTTGACTGCCATTGTCAAGTACCTAGGATGAACCTGATCACTTTCCATTTGGATTTTCAGGACAATCCCCTGTGCATAAGATGTGTCTTGAAAAATGTTTATGTGCTTATTGAACACCTGTAGTGAGCTCCTTGTCTCTGAGGGAGAGGACTGTTCAGCTCTGAGGGTTTTCATTGGCACAAGATGCTTGGCCTTGGGCTGCACATTTTGGCATCTTCAGGCCCCACAATCATTAATGGGCCCTGTTCATGCCAACCACCCTCAAGCTTCCCCTCCTACATAGGAATGAGAGCTTCCAGGTATCAGAACTTTGCCTATAGTTCCAGTGACAGTGATTGCCTTCATAATGGTAGACAAAGGAATCTCTCTATCCTGAATCCCAAGTGGGAAATGCTTGCAGAGCCAAGATAAACTTGGGATAGATGATGTATTTTGTGTCTCCCCCTGGTATGGGGCTAAGCCATTCTAAAGGCAGCAATGCACCATGATCAGACATTCTGTGGGGTGCAAGCAAGCATACAGGATCTTCTAACATAAGGCCCATGGACAAGCATCTGATAGCTAGGAAACACCACAGTATTATACACAGGCAGAGCTGTGCTGAAATGGGAGGGGCCAGTTGGAAAACTAGAAAAAGCATGTGAAGTTACAGGAAAAAGGGAGCTAGTTGAGAATGTACATGTGAGTAAATACACTTTCTTGTTTCTAGCTGCTGTTGAGTTGGCCCCCAAGTCATGGCAACACCATGTACAATGGGACTGGCGCATTGAGATCCATGGGGTTTCCACTGAATAATTTTGAGAAGTAGCTTCCTGGGCCTTTCTTCCTAGTTTGTCTTAGTCTGGAAGCTCCACTGAAACCTGTTCAGCATCATAGCAATACTGAAGCCTCCAATGATAGACAGGTGGTGGCTGTGCCTGAGGTGCATTGGCCAGGAATGCTGTCCTTAACT